TCTCTGGACACGGTGTGACTATTTGGCTTTCAATGTGATGGTGTGATCTGGAAATGTCATCTCGCTGTTACTTATTTTCCTTGCAATTTGGTATCGGAGCTGGTTCATATTGCGCTTCATTGGTTCTTCGCAATAGCTATTGGTGCTTCGCATGAGGTGTGGGGCAGTGATAAGGCATTGGCGTTGAACGTTAGGCGGCCCAGGGTAGTGTGGGCGCGCCAGGGAGCTATGTGGTGACATACGGGGTGTATGCTGGATGATGAGAACTCGCTGATGTGGCATATTAAGCGAAGGTGGAACCGCATTCTGCTGTTGGTTGTGCTGAGGCAAAGACCGGTCATCATAATTGCACATCAGGTTACCGGTGAGAAATTTGTGGTTGGGGGCAGCATTTAAGAGGTACGTTGCTCTCTTCCTTATCTACCCTCTTCATCTCTTCTTACCGTGAGGAAGTGAGTTCTGTCTTGAGAGTCCTCTCGATGTGAGATGTCGCGAGCGCTCAACCTTGAGAGTCGACATTCTTCCTGGGCAGCAAGCTGGTGGGAGACGGGCGAAGCCTCTGAAGGGCCCTGGACGAAGCACTCGGGTAACGGTCACCATGCCAACCCGCTGGGACTAGTACACGCATGCTTGGGCTGCAAGTCCTTGGTTGTGCTGCTTGCGCAATAGAGGTCGTGCAGGGCATGCCAACCTTTTATGAGACGCTTACCAGACCGTCTATAAATATTTCTGGCTGGGAACTCGGATTGAATCTGGCTGTGATCGTTGTCCTGACTGCGACGTTAAATAATTCCTGAGGAGATGGGGTCTCTCCTTAAATCCCTCCTGATCAGCCAGATCAACCGGGTGTAAGGCTCGTTCCGTACGAGATAAATAAGAGTGGACTGGCTGGCATGTTCGGCAATGACTTGGGGCACAGGGGTGGGCCGGATTGCACACCTTCAGGCACGCTGCTCAACCAGATGCTCAGGAACATTGACACAAAGTGACTACTCGAGAAGGATACAGGGGGAGGGGGGATTCCGGTAACTGTTCACAGTGGCAATCAACTATCAATCTGCCGTTCAGTATACATCCCCAGCATGAGATGTTATTTCTATCTTTGATTAGTTAGTTGTTACAGACTTTGCTGACAACTGACAGACAGTTACAGACAGACTAGACTCTTTGCTGTAAAGTGATTTGTATTAGACTAATCTAAAAATAGATGTGATATATCATGTAGGACCTGACATTAGTTGTGACTATATCACCTAACCGCCGACCGATAATAGTTGTATATCACAAACGGTTGTGTGTCACGCTGAGGTAGGATTCAGTGTGAGTTCTAGTTTAGATCACACACATCGTAGCTCATGAGTGAAGACAATGGTGAGGAGGAGCAAAGGCTAGTGCAACCCATTAGGATCACACGGAGAACCGCTCTTAGTCAACCTTTGACTTTCTTGGAGTTAGGTCCAGGAGAGGAGAGGAGACTACGAAGGGAAGCTAGGGAGAGAGCAACGGCGAGGAGGAATAGGGACGCAGCAGTCAGCTTAGCAGCTGCAATGGCTACCGCCTCTTCGACATCGCAATCAACCTCCCAGTCTTGTTTGTCAGGGGCTGGACAAGGTGGATCGGGTACAGTTAGTCAATCTGTTGGCTTGCAAGTCAGCCAAACGGCTCTACTCACACCTGAGGACATAGAAATCCAAAAAGCGGAAGAACTTCAGAATGAGTTACGKCGGCAGTTGGACGAAGCATCAGAGAGGAGAAGAAAARCAATCATGAGGAAGGCCAGATTAGAGAGTAGGATGGAGGCACTAGGCAGACTAGAGGACCTAGATGAGGCGACATTAGAGCCTGCGGGACGCGTGCTGCGTAATGTTGTCCTATCTATAGCAGAAGCGCAAACAGTTCAACAGGAACTGTTGACTAATCTAGTGGCAGGCCAGAAACAAATTTTGGATGCACTCCAGGCTCCTCGTCCAGTGATGAGGCAGCCGCAGTTTGCTGTAGTTCCCCCTGCAGGCGTGGGTCCTTCAACGATGCCGCAACCCACGGGACAAACCTTTTCTCCAATGTTTGGCATGCCCCCTCCAGGTGGTTTAGCAGCAACTAGTGGTCCGGTTCAAAGAGTCTCAGCCGTACCATCCACGACAGTGGTAACTAGAGTCCCACTGTCAAGCCAGGCCCAGGTTAGTGTGCAACAACCTGTTTCAGTGGCTATGCAGTCGCTGCAGCAAGCCCCTGGGCCAATGCAGCCTATGCAGTGGATGCCTAAAATACCCCTAATGAGTCCCAAACCCTTCTCTGGAGATAGAAAGAAGGAGGAGGACTTGGACACCTGGGTGAGGACTGTGCCTACTTATGTGAGGCACAAGCTCACAAGGCCAGAGCAAGAAGTTGTTGTGGCTGCCTCTTTTTTAGAAGGGTCAACAGCTCACTGGTTGAATGGCCTAGTGCAGCAACAGGGCTACGGTCAGGATTTCGATGTCTGGGCTCAGGCTCAAACATTGGAACAGTTCGTACGGTCCGTCTATAACAGGTGGCATGACCGGCAAGGGGCTCAAAAGGCCACCGATGCTATCAACAACCTTTGTTCCCGCAGGTTCAAGGATGTTAGAGAGCTTACGGACACCGTAGAACGCCTTCTCGTGGTACCTGGTGTGCGTTTTGACCAGCAGGTTCTCCTGACGGATTACCTAAGGTGCCTACTTGCACAGGTAAGGACCAAGCTGGTTGATGAAGCCTATGTCGAACAACACACCTTCGCTTCTTTTAGTAAGAAAGCTCTGGATATAGAGGCAAAGCTGGGATCTGCTCATAAGGCATCTCATGATGGTAGGAAGAGACTACCCCAAGATTGGAAGAAGAAGGGTCAGTTGATGTTCGTTGACCACGATGGTCAAACGACTGAGATTGACGATTTGACAGAGCAGGATGGGGCTAGTGAGACTTCAGATGGTGGAGTCATGGCACCCATCAAAGAAAAGGCTAGGGGGACCGGGAAGAAGAAGGTAGGACGGTCCACGAGTCAGGGAGACCAAGGGACACCCGCATGGGTAAAGCTTGGTTTGGATTACGAGGTGTGGAGGGACCGAGTTGCCAGGGGCACATGCATGAACTGTGGCAACTATCGCCACACGTCCAGGACTTGCCGCGACAAGAAGGTCACCACGAAAGTAGCCTTACCAACGGTGGTGGGCTTATCTTCAAATCCTGGGAGTGCTTCTGCGAGCAGCTCACAGGGAAACACCTCGGGCCAGTAGGAGTGTTAGCCGCTCTTACTCGTGCTGAAGTGGTAACGTTACCTTCCCCACTTCAGGCATTGGCCAAGGCTAGAGACCCACGCATCGCCCCGCAGACACATTCAGACCCACCGACGCTCTGTTCGAGAGATGTGTCTGAGGCCCTAGAAGAGTTAGAGACTGAGTGGTCAGGGAAGGACCCCAGGGACTCTTGGGCGATGATGAGTAGAGGTCCAGAGGGTAAACATTTCGTGGTAGAAGTAGATGTAGGTGGCCGCAAGGTTGGCACCTTCGCAGACGTAGGCTCTACACGAAATTTCATCAGTCGTGCTTGTGTGGATAGACTGCGCTTAGGGGACCAAGTGCAGCGGCTTAGCAGAACTGTAGCTTCTACGCTAGCCAACAAGCACCGAATGTTGGTGAAAGACCATGTCAAGGACGTAGTCTGCACCTTCTCCTATGGAGGAGGGGAAGTAGTCATAAAATCTCCTTCCTGGTTAGCGAGGAACTGCCATTTGACATGCTCCTAGGTATGTACTACCTCGAGGTCACGCAACCGCAGTTTGACTGGGATAGAAAGGTATTGATTCACAAGTTGCCCAACAGTAGATCTGTTAGATTGCAAAAGTTCAAAGCTAGCAGTCTAATAGAAAACTACAGGTATATGTGTGCTTTATCCTTCTATAACTACTATAAGTAGAATCGAGAGGAGGGCATGTATCTAGTCTTTGTCTCTGAGAAAGGGGAGGCCGTTAAAACACCCCCAGAGATAGAAAGAGTCGTCGCACAATATTCAGACCTTTTTTAGGAGCCCACAAGCATGGTGGAAAGGGAGGTTCTACGGAGATTGTCCTAGGTAGCAAGGTGCCTAGAGGACGAATCTATAGGATGTCTCCCGCGGAGTTAGATGAGCTTCGCTGCCAGCTCAAGGAGCTCACAGAGAAGGGATGGATACGGCCTAGTACCTCCCCTTACAGTGCGCCAGTCTTATTTGTTCCGAAGAAGGGAGGTCCATTAAGGATGTGCATTAACTATAGGGGCCTCAATGCTATCACCGTTAAGAACGCGGAGCCCCTACCCCGCATTGACGACCTCTTGGATAGAGTGCAGGGATGCCGGTACTTCACAAAGATAGACTTGAAGTCCGGATACCATCAAATTGCCGTTAGACCTGAGGATGAACACAAAACCGCATTTCAGGCCAGGTACGGTCTGTACGAGTTTGTGGTGATGCCTTTTGGCCTATGCAATGCGCCTGGTACGTTCCAGCATGCGATGAATAAGATTTTTCATGACTACTTGGACAAGTTTATCGTCGTGCACCTCGACGATATTCTCATCTTTAGTAGGACTGTAGAGGAGCACGCTGAGCACTTGAAAACAGTGCTAGGTCTCCTAAGACAGCACCAGTACAAGGTTAACTTGGACAAATGCGAGTTTGGTCGCACCAAGATCTTGTACTTGGGTCATGAAATCTTAGCAGATGGATTGAGGCCGGAAGATGCGAAGGTGGCCAGCATACGTGACTGGCCCAGACCTCAGACTGTTACTGAGGTCAGATCGTTTTTGGGGATGACGGGCTACTATCGTCCGTTTGTGAAGAACTATAGTACTATAGCTTCCCCATTGACAGATCTAACTTGACTGGACACCCCTTGGGTGTGGACTAAAGAGTGTGAGGCGGCCTTTAGGAAACTGAAGTACGCTCTAACACACTATGAGGTTCTTAAACTTCCTGATCGTGATAAGCCGTTTGTCGTGACCACAGACGCCAACCAATATGGCATAGGCACAGTCCTTGCGCAAAAGGAGGGGCCCAAGTTGAGACCCATCGAGTGCATGAGCAAAAAGATGCCATCTCAGAAACTGGCTAAGTCCACCTATGAGCGTGAGCTCTATGCCCTGTATAGAGCGGTGGTACATTGGAGATACTATCTCCTTGGCAGATTCTTCTATGTGAGATGTGACCATGAGACCTTGCACTAGATCAAGACTCAACCAATACTCTCTGACGCACTCAAGCGCTGGATACAAGTTATAGACATGTATGACTATCAACTTGATCCAATCAAGGGAGAGTACAACAAAGTAGCTGATGCGTTATCTCGTCGGGCAGATTATCTCGGCGCACTAGTGACTGAGTTTGGCATATCTAGCGACTTAACTCAATCATTGGTGGATGCCTATCAGCAAGATCCAGTTATGTCTGAGATCATCCGTAGATTCCAAGCAAAGGACAAAAAGACTTTGGACGAATTTATGATGGTAGATGGCTCGCTGTTTCTTGAGAAGGCAGGGAATAAAAGGTTGTGTGTTCCCAGTAGTGAGTCGTTGCGCAGTTTATTTTTAGGAGAATGCCATCATGCAACTGGTCATTTTGGCTATAAAAAGACATCAGCGAACTTAGTACAAAGATTTTGGTGGCCCTCTATGATGCAAGATGCAAAACGATACGTTGAAACCTGCCAGGTTTGCCAAAGAGACAAACCAAGGACTCAGGCTCCGCTTGGGCTAATCAAGCCCTTGCCGATTCCTGAAGGACCAGGTCAGAGTGTATCTACGGATCTCATGGACACCCTTGTGACCAGCAGGTCTGGAAAGAGGCATATCTTTGTTATAGTGGACCGTTTTACTAAGTACACAAGACTGATCGCCATGCCAGAAACAGCTAAAACTGACTACGTCATCAAACTATTTATGGATAATTGGGTACGTGATTTTGGTTTGCCTACATCCATCGTTAGCGATAGGGATGTGAGATTCACAAGTGAACTGTGGCAGTCAACTGCTAAAGAGATGGGCACCAAACTCCAAATGACCTCAGGGAATCACCCTGACTCAAATGGCCAAGCAGAACAGATGAACTGGGACGAGAAGTGACCTCTCGTCGCCAGCTTGTACAATAATGTTGTGCACAGTACAACCGGTATGACTCCCAACCAGTTACATCTTGGTTGGAAGCCCAGAACTGCATTAGACTTTCTGCTACCAGAAAGACAATCCACTGCAGCACCTGGCAGCATAGATTTTGCTGTCAAATATGAACAGATGCTGCAGCAGGCTGTTGAACATATTAGGAAGTCTCAGGATGCTATGATTGCATCTGAGAATAAGCATAGACGGCCCTCTAACTTTCAGGTAGGTGAACGAGTCTGGGTAAAGTCATCTGAATTAGGTCAGGAGTTGGGGATATCCAGAAAACTGATGCCACAGTATTTCGGGCCCTGGGAGATCTTGGACATTGTAGGGGATCAACCGGATGGGCCTTCATACGTGATCCGTATTTCTGCACACTTACGCACCTACCTAGTGTTTCATGCCTCCATCAGTTTCCTTCCAGAAGATCAATGCTGCCCCCAACCATGGATGGCGAAGTGGACGTTGACCAGATCATCGAGCATCGAGTGATGCCTGTTCCTCGACCATCAGGCAGAGGGCGACCTCCTAAACCGAGAATGCAGTATCGTGTGAGCTTCAGACATCATCTGGATCCAAAAGAAGACCGGTGGTTCACACGATAAGAACTCTTGAGAACAACACCTCAAGTGATCGTAGGCTATGAAAGAGCACTCAAGGGGAAGATGCCTGTAGAATGAGAGACTTCTCATAGGACTCACGAAGTATAGGAGGAGGGAATGCGAGGATCAGGGTCCTCGGTAGGCCTATGGGGCCCTGTTTGCAGCATTACCCGCCCTAAGTGAAGGCGGGCCTGGCTTTTTGCAAGAGGCCCTCGACTGTCAATTTCATATTTGGGGTCCAGGCAGTTGCGACGCGCCAGTTGGTTGAAAGAAACACAGGCCGAGCAACAAAGACATTTCCACGGCCCTAAGGGCCTTTCCAAACAATGCAGGCCCTGGGCGTGATTCGCAGCCTCATACASAGACAGTTGGGCGCCCAACCRAACGAGGCCCARCARCCCAGTAGCTGTTGTAYATAGGCAGCTTCCTGGGGGCTTCCGGAAGCTTCTGGGCCCAGGCCAGCCCAGCCAGGCTGCGAGAGCTGGCCAGCTCTTTTCCATAAAGGAAAGAGYTCYGGCCAGGCAGCCTCATTCAGGCACTCRCATGCKAGCGGCAGCGCTGCTGGAGCAAAGGCTCGCGGCTGCTGGCTGGCGCTGAGAGGCGAGGTGCAGCACGTGCGGTCGTGCAGAGGAGGAGGGCGCTGCTGAGGGCAGCGCCATAGCCCAGCCACCATAGCTGGTGGGCTTGGACTACAGTGAAGCGCAGGGGTGGTCTTCGGGTGAAAGAGAGGACAGGTGTAGTCAGGGGATAGGTGAAGGATGATGATGATGATGATGATGTGAGGGCACGTACCTTGTATTGGCGATGGTCTGCATGGGCGACATCTTCAAGTACTTCGGGCTGCCGATGATGTCAACAGTTGCATTGTCTTTTTGTAGTCTGTAGTAGCTGTGTAGGAGTAGGCTGGGCGCTGAGGGCCAAGTGGGAGTGTGAAGGAACTGGACTCTTGTGTTGGGAAGAGAGAGTATGCTCTCCATGAACATTGGTTTTCAGTGCTACGAACTTCCATTGGTGTATTATTGGTGCAATGCTGCTCTCTGGACACGGTGTGACTATTTGGCTTTCAATGTGATGGTGTGATCTGGAATTGTCATCTCGCTGTTACTTATTTTCCTTGCACAGTCAAATTCGGATATAGTATGCTTCTAACAATGAAAGATCCAGAGCCAACAACTAAAAGAAGATGGAACAAACTAGTGGGCCCCGACGCGGAACAAATCACTGCAATCCCATGGAAAAAGTACAAAATGATAAGACCAGTCAAAATCAGAAGCCTACAATGGCTCACAACGTACGTTGCTCTACCAGTTAAAGAATGGCTCCACATCCAAAGAAGAAAGGAGGACTCGAAGAGCACCAACATCTGCAATATATGCTCAGATCATGGACGAGAAGACATGATTCACTGTCTAATCACATGCAAAGAAGCCATAGAATATTGGGCTAACCTCTGGGAAAACCTCTTCTCTTCCTTCCTTCCTGAAAACCCCCTCCAACTGCTCCTCTGGACTAACCTTCCTCCTGACTTCCAGGAACCTGAGAAGATCTTTTTTCTTTTTTTGTCCTACCAAGTA